GCCGTGCGCGGAGGGCGGCGAGGCGCTGGCACAGGCGGCCCAGGGAGGTGGCAGATGCCCCATCCCTGGGAACACTCGAGGCCGGGTTGGACGGGGCTCTGAGCAATCTGGTCTGGTGGAAGGTGTCCCTGCCCATGGCAGGGGGGGTTGGAACGAGGGGGTCTGTAAGGTCCCTTCCAACGCAAACCATTCTGTGATTTTTCTTCAGCTGTATTAAAGACAGAAGTAGAGGCGCATAAAATGACACTGCATTTGGCAAAGCGTGTTAGCGTTCAGAGGGTTTACAATAACTGGTTCTTTCATAATGTGTTTCACTAACAGGGAAGGACTTTGTGTACGTTGAGCCGTCTAGGAGAGTTAGAGAAATACTTGCAGAAGAGCTTTGCTTCCAGAAAGAGGCGTGCCATCTTATATTAAAGACAGAAGTAGAGGCGCATAAAATGACACTGCATTTGGCAAAGCGTGTTAGCGTTCAGAGGGTTTACAATAACTGGTTCTTTCATAATGTGTTTCACTAACAGGGAAGGACTTTGTGTACGTTGAGCCGTCTAGGAGAGTTAGAGAAATACTTGCAGAAGAGCTTTGCTTCCAGAAAGAGGCGTGCCATCTTAGACACCCAGCTGCAGGTAATCCTCCTTACCGGCAAAGGACAAGTGCTTGGCAGGGCAAATGGAGTGTACATTGTTTTGAGGAACTGTGGCAAAATCATTATTTAAAAAAAAACATCCAAGAACATTTATGTGATAGCCTGGGGATCATTTAGAAACAGAAGAATTACACATAGTCTTTATTACTGTTTGTTTTTTTTTTTTAGTCTGAAATTGCGGGACCATAGAGTACATGGAGAATTCCGTATGATCTATCAGTTTAATAAAGCAGAAACAAATACCAAGCAGTAGGGAGGTTTTGTTGCCTTTTGCTTTGAAAGAAGAGCTGTAGTTATTAGAATACTTTGTCCCCTTCTGCTGTTCAGAATTGAAATTGGTGTTGAAAAGAAGGAGTTGAGGTAAGAATGAGAAGAGTAAATAAAAGCCAGGAAAACAATGAAAACATTTAGAAACTCAGTCCATTTAGGCAGCGCAGAAGTTATGGAGGGACAGTTACAGTAGGTAAGTTTGGAAATGGAAGTCTAAGAGGGAACAAGTTGTTTGGTCTAGCTAAACTGTTAAAAGTTCTGAGAAATGGAGGTAAAAATGAGATAAGATCAGAGTAGAAATAATGCGTGGTTTTTAACAAAAAGAGAACTTGACGCTGGAACAATTCAACAAAGATCACCTAGATTCACCTTTTTTAATACGCACTTTAAATATTTTGCACTTAAACGGGTCTTGGTGCAGGAATGAGCCCAAAGCCATGTGACCCAAGTAAGACAAAGCTTACCTCATGCTGGTGGTCTCTGGCAGCCGTGAGATCTATTACTCTAATTGTAGAAAATTAATTTTTCAGGAGTTTGTAATGTTGAAGAATAGGTCATCTTATCTGGTTGACTACAAGGTCTTCAAGCTGTTCTATTTCATCTGGTACCTCCCCTTAGAGTCCACTGAGTAAAGCTGGTTATTCCACAGCTTCCCTCGTTAGTTTGTTCTAGTGGTTGGTGTATTAATAAAAAAAAAAAAAAGCCTGGTTAATGATTTGGATTTGCATGATTCAGCTCCTTGCTTTTCTTGGATAGATAATCGTGCCTTTTTTAGTATCCAGGATTTTCTTCCAGAAAAGGTATATACACGTATATTTGGTTTTGGCTCTTTGTGTACTCTTGCTAATTGTTCTGCCACCTCTTGTAAAATGTGAATACCGAATCTGTCATGGTGTTTCAGTATTTGTGTCACCAGCAGCCTGCAGAGAGATAAAATCATCTAATTATTATAGAGCTACACGAGAGCTAACGTTAGCAATAGGACCTTGAACTGTTTGTCGACTGTTAACTCCTGAATCCACGATGCTTTTGCTCCATAATACACAGCTCCCATTCTGTAGCGCCACATTCTCTCCCACAGAGTAAAGCTGTTCCTTGGTTATATTAAGCTGCATTTTGTTGGAATGAGCCCACCGCTACATCTCCTAATCATTTGAGAGTGGAGCCACTCTCCATCATCTTTGAGAGGTCCTGGAGGACAGGAGAGGTGCCCGAGGACTGGAGAAAGGCCAATGTCACTCCAATCTTCAAAAAGGGCAAGAAGGAGGACCCAGGGAACTACAGGCCGGTCAGCCTCACCTCCATCCTGGGTAAGGTGATGGAGCAGCTTATCCTGGAGGCCATCATCAAGCAAGTAGAGGAAAAGAAGGTTATTATGAGTAGTCAGCATGGATTCACCAAGGGGAAATCATGCCTGACCAATCTGATAGCTTTCTACGATGACATGACTGGCTGGGTAGACGAAGGGAGAGCTGTGGACGTAGTCTACCTACACTTACTGATCCTCCTAGGGAAGCTGAGGAAGTGTGGGCTGGATGAGTGGTCGGTGAAGTGGATAGAGAACTGGCTGAATGGCAGAGCTCAGAGGGTTGTCGTCAGCGGCGCTGAGTCTAGTTGGAGGCTGGTAACTAGTGGTGTCCCTCAGGGGTCAGTACTGGGCCCAGTCTTGTTTAACTTCTTCATCAATGACCTGGATGAAGAGTTAGAATGTACCCTCAGCAAGTTTGCTGACGACACCAAACTGGGAGGTGTGGTAGATACACCAGAAGGCTGTGCTGCCATTCAGCGTGACCTGGATAGGCTGGAAAGCTGGGCAGAGAGGAACCTGATGAGGTTCAACAAGGGCAAGTGCAGGGTCCTGCACCTGGGGAGGAACAACCTCATGCACCAGTACAGGCTTGGGGTGGACCTGCTGGAGAGCAGAGAGGGACCTGGGTGTCCTGGTGGACGACAGGTTAACCATGAGCCAGCAGTGTGCCCTGGCTGCCAAGAAAGCCAATGGGATCCTGGGGTGCATCAAGAAGAGTGTGGCCAGCAGGACGAGGGAGGTTCTCCTTCCCCTCTACACTACCCTGGTGAGGCCTCATCTGGAGTACTGTGTCCAGTTCTGGGCTCCCCAGTTCAAGAAAGATGAAGAGCTACTGGAGAGAGTCCAGCGGAGGGCTACAAGGATGGTGAGGGGACTGGAGCATCTCCACTACGAGGAGAGGTTGAGGGAACTGGGCTTGTTCAGCCTGAAGAAGAGAAGGCTGCGAGGGGACCTTATAAATGCCTACAAATATCTGAAGGGTGGGTGTCAGGAGGATGGGGCCAAGCTCTTTTCAGTGGTGCCCAGTGACAGGACAGGTGGGTTGGACTAGATGACCCCCAGAGGTCCCTTCCAACCCCTACCATTCTGTGATTTTGTGGTTACGTCCTCCACAAATGTAGTAAGGGCATTTTTGCCTTCATTTCCAAACTTGGAAAATTTTGAAAGAAATCTTAGTTTTTTCTATTATGTGGTATTGAGACCCAAGTCTAAATTTAGTCTTAAATGAATTTAAAACAGTTGGATTCACAGACAAAAATGTACATGAGCTAGGTGATGTAATCAGTATCCTGTCAGACTTCAAGACCATTTGAACCTGCAACTCCATTACTGTGATTAGGCTTCATAGACGATTACAGCACACACCTGCAAATGAGCTACCTACGTAGGCTCTGTTTGTAGTAAATGGAGAGAAAAAGGCACTTTGAAAACATAATTCTTCTGACTTGCCCTAGATACCTACCGTTGTGTGTGTTGTGCTCTAGAAGTGCGTGTTCTTTTCCCATTGATTAAAGGGGTTCTGGGCAAGTAGCAGAACTGCAGGTGTTGACATGGGGCTGCTCAGTCTGCTCACGTGCCTAATGTTACTCAGAGCTGAACCCAACTATACTTCACTCCGTTCATATGCCAATGCATCAAAATTGTCTAGACTATTTTGGTTTGATTGTATGAATGGGTGCTACCATATAGGTTCTCATGATTTCTGGGGAGCCCCCCAAAGAAATGTGTGTTACAAAGGTTTAAAGTACTAACGATAACATAGAAACACTACCAAAAAAATTCATTACAGGAAGGTATAATATGGATGTATAACAAGCTCAGTGTGTAAATGGTATGTGTAGCACAATATGTTATATGCATAGCACAACAATGCTATGTATACTAAGGTCAAATAGCTGTTGGTGTACAGATTATTCAGAAAGTACCTAGTTCCTTTTTCATCTGTATGCGTGTGGAGAATTAGAAGTGCTCCTTAAGTGGCCTGGGCTCTGATAAACAACAGTTGTCAGGTTGGATGGTTGCTGATTTACACAGTGTAGGTGATTACTAAACTTATTGTTTTACATAATTAGATGGTTAGTAAATTGCAAGCTTTCCACAAAATAAATGTGCTTTTTTTGTTTTGTTTTGGTGGTGTCGGTTTGGTCTTGTTTTGGGGGGTGGTGTTATTCTGCTGTCTTTTTCTGAGCGTATTTGGTATTCCAGTATGACCAATGAAACATCAATGGTATTGCTGCTGTTTCTTATGCATGATAGATCAGCTGCATCGTGCCTCAGTTAGGAGCCTGGTAGTCCTAAGCTGTTCTCCAGGCAGTAGAGAGCGTCATATACCTTTAGCAATCTGAATTGCTCTCTGAAGATGTCATCCTTTTTTCATTAACTGTGGAGGAAGATTATAGTGTTCTGCTTAACTACTTCGAATTACGGTATAGACCAAAGGGACCGTCTTTTAAAACTTACATTGATTCTAGAACAGGTTGAGGTAATCAACTGTAACGGTGTTATTCTGACAAATTGTTAACAGTGGCTCTGGAAGGAGTTTGGAGTGTGAAAAAGAATTTCTCCATTGGAAGCCTGAAACCGGTGTCGCAGAACAGAAACGGTTTCCTTTTACAGCCTCGATTCTACTCAAGGCATGCAGGAATAAAACGTAAGAGTCAATAATAAGAAACCTTCACTGTAACACCTCACTTTAAAATTGCAGGGTGATATTATTTTGTAATTCACAGACATCTCACAGGACTGTAGATCTGTTTTGTTCAATGTTATTTTTTCATCAGATTACCTATATGGTCTTACAGTAATCCCCTCTGGGCACCTTACTGCAGAGCTAACCCGTCTCTTCCTCAAGTAGCCAACAGACTTGAACCCTTTGCCTGAGAAACCTGTTTAGGACTGCTCTGTTGAGTGACCTTATTTCTTATGCTGAAAGCTGTTGTAAACGTGTGGAATAACCACTTGTTTCCTACTGATGAGTGGTGAGTGTTGGGTTTGTGTACTTAATGAGCCTTACTTGCCTTTCTTAACATCCAACCTCAACCAATCCAAATGCTTGGAAAATCCCTCCTTCCAACCCCCTTCCTGAAAAGAGCTTGGTCTGGGTACCAGTGCAGGCAGGTTAGCATTTACCTGCAGTGGTCAGCTGGTGCTCTGGGGCATGGATTTCTTTCTTTACAGTCAGTGGAGTGGCTTTTGTGGAGCAGAAGTGTTCCTTATGAGCTGGTAGATTTTAGCATAGTCTGCTCAATGTGTGTCCACCTTCTCTCTTTCAGTGAAATGTATTGACTTGGTAGTGGAAGGTGAGAGCTTCCAACCCTAAGGAAACACAGAGTTCATTAGCTTTGTAAGAGGAATATTGTTATTGCTGTGAGCTTGCAGAATATGTCAACTCAGCTTATTTTGCCATTAAATGAAGCTTCTTCTTGGAGGCTAGTGGTTTAAAAACACAACTAGCTGCTTGACTGCCAGCTCTTTCTTCCCATCTTCATCTTGTGAGCTCCGGAGATGGGGGGATCATAGTTACAGCAGCAGCACGAATGAAGTTATTGCTAGTGTGAGAAGCATTTAACCAGTACAGCTTTCTGCCATGACTGCCTTTACTCTACAAGTAGTGCTTCTAGGAATATTTTGATTATAGAGCAGGCCTAAGCTGTGCCAGGTATTAACTTCAGTCTCTTCTGGTAATTGACTTAAACCAGGAAAATTTTAGCCACACCGTAGAAAATACAACCAAAGCTTGCCTCAGAGGGGCGTTATCTGAACTCACATCCCTGCAGTTCCTAGTGCAGACACACAGAGTTTTGCAAGATCCTGATCTCCTCCGTTTCTTGTTAAGATCTGTGAGAGAAGCACAGCTTCAAAACAGTTTATTCGAATTGATATAGGTGCTGAAATTTGTGGGATCTGTTGGTTTTCCTTTGGGAATTTAGATGTACCTTCATTCCCAGGGACTGCTGCTAGAGACAAGAGGTGCTCTCCTCACTAGCTATGCTGTTTTGCAGCGGAATAGGCAGGTATCACAAGAGAAGGAGTGCCAGAAAAGATGCAAGACAGGAGAAAAAAGGGAAGCAATCTGGCTTCAGCTCCTGTGTTCACCAAACCATTTCCATTCACACACTCTCTTCTGCGTAAGGGGCTGGGGAAGAAACGAGGTGGTAATATACCAACTGAGATGGGGTAGGCTATGGAAATGGACAAAAAAGAAGAGAGTTTTCTAGAGAGAAGATGAGCCTGCTGTGTTTAGTGCCAGAAGGAAAGGCACCACTGACAGGAAAAGGAAGAAGCACAGACAAGAGGAATGAAAGAGGAGACATTGAACAGAAGGTTGGGAATTCCTGAAGTGAACTGGAGAGAGAACACGGTTCAGCAACACAGGGATACAAACTGAAAGAAATGAAGGAAAAAGATGTAGGAGAAATAAGCAGAAGAGGCAAAAAGAAAAAAAATATATCCCCATGTTGCTGAATTTACTGAAGTTAATGCGTTTATTTTTGCTTCTCCCATTTACTGCCTTTCCCTAAAAGTGATGAGTGGTTTGGGGGGCTCACTATGTGGTGTCTCCTCCATATTTACAGTGGATCTTGTTTTTTTTGCAGATTGCTGACCTTTAGTGCTGTGAAGACCTGAGCCTGTGGTGATGTGTCAAATCAAACATCAAAAAGACTATCTGCCTTTAGAAATGTAGATCAGTACTTCTAAGATTTTGAAGACAGTTCTGCTTGGATAGGGAGCTATTTCCTTTGTTGTTGTTTTATTCATATCTTCGTGCTGCTTTTTTATCAGATGTTGTAGTAGCCAGATCTGATCCATACTTCAGCCAGTGATGAAGATGTCACAACCTAAAGATAACAAAATGTTCTTGCTGACAAAAATGTGCTGCTGTGAAACTTGACATTTTCATGGGCTTCTCTGTTGCAAAGTGACTGTAAGCTCCAGCAGAAGATTGTAATGTAATTGAAGAGATGCCTTAAAATGCCTTAGGCTGAGTCCAGTCATTAAACTGAGCAGTTCATAAGCCCTGAGTTTGTGATTCGATATCTGGCCTGATTAAACAAAAGTTTAACATAAATAAGCCTCTCTATATGTGTAAGAGTTATCTTAGTGTCAAAGAAGCACGGTGGCAGCATGGAACCTGAAATAACCTGTCACTAAACTCTCACTCTTAATCATTATTACAGTGAGGTGATACCAAATGATCATTAGTTTGTTAGGAACCAAATGTGGATCCTTCTAGGTGCTGCGTAAAACCAGAACAAAAGGTAGCTTCGAAATGGTCGTGGATGATTGGAGGAGGTACCACAGACAGGAGTGACAGAACAGCTTCAGTGCTTTGGTAGCAGGCGAGGGCCTGGAAGCTCTCTCCAGCAAAGCACCTGAGCTGGCTGAGCCTGAACCACGCAGGAGGAAGCAACGAGTGACAGCAGTTGGAGACTCCCTCCTGCGGGAGATGGCAGCTCCCGTTTGCCGCCCCAACATGCTGCCCGGGGAGGTTCGTTGAGGGGCTGACGTCTGGGACGAGGTGGAAAGCGTGCTGAGTCTTGTCTGCGCCTTGGACTTTTACTCCCTGCTGCTCACCAACAGTGCTGCCAGGGGAGGTGTGGAGCCTGTCAGGCTTGGCTACATTGCCGCAGGGTGAGTCAAAGACGTGGATGCCCAGGTGGTTTCTCCTCAATACTGCTGGTGAGAGGGTAGGGCTTGAAGAGTGGATGGATCCTGTAGGTCAACAACTGGTTGCACAGCTGTTGCTGAAAACAGGGAATTGGCTTTTGTGACTATGGGATATCTCCTCTTCGAGGACTAAGAACTGCTAGGAAGAGATGGGGTTCACCTCAGCAAGGGGGGCAAAAGCTGTGTCTGTACCACATCTAGAAAGATAAATGATTGTTTCCTAAGTGCTGTGATAACACAAGAAATACAGAGCGGTGATCATTTGCCAGTAATCTGGCCAGCCTGGGGCGGGAGAACTGTAAGTTGAAGAGATGACAACTCATAATCACATGAGGAGGTGGTGGACCAAGTTGGTAGGCATGATATTTCCTATCTTTACATTAAACAATCTAACTTATCAGTCTTTGCCATACTTCTAGAATAATTGTGTCATGTTCTTTTCCAAATTAATAATGCTTAGCACGCCCTACAGTTTTCATTGTCAGAATTCTTCCCAGACATCCCTCCAGTATGTTTATGTGATAAACAAGTGTCAGTGTCTTTTTAAAGGAGGGAACTGTATTGTACAGTGAAAAAATGAACTAGGACTGAGAGATAATTTAAAATTAGAGTTGAAGAGTTCCTTATTCCCAATGCTACCTCAGACTGATTATTCACGTCTTTCCGAAGGTGTGAACCTAAGAGGCGGAGATGGGATTTGCTTCTGGGGCTCACAGGTTCTAAGGAAGGATCTAAACCACACTGAATATTGTTAAAAAGAAAGAGACTCAGTGACAACTTTGTGAGGCTAGGCTTTCTTTTCAATTGCTTTCTTTACAAGTACCTGTGAAAGAAATGGAATATTTGATTGCCTAGAACTCTTCTGTGAGACAAAAAATTGGTTTTATTTTCATACCAGTGAGAATTAAAAAAGGCCCAAACAAACCTTAATTGGTTCCAAGCCAACTGTTTTCAGCATTTCTATTTGACTTCTAAATGAAAAAAAATATTGGCACTGAAAATTGCACCTGAGGCACTGGAAGAGTAGCTGCTTTTGAAAACATTATTCTCACTTTTTAGATGCAAATTTGATCATGAAGCATGGAATAATGTTTGAAAAACAGTGGGTTTTCAGATAGAGGCTTTGATTAAGCGTGTTGCATTTCACTTCTGTTTCTTGCTTCATTTTTATTCTCCCCTCCCCCTGCGTTCTCATTCTTAGTAATTTTTTTTCATGATCTTGTTTTAAAATTTTCCAAATGAAAAGACTTTCTGGGTCTGTCCTGGACTCCTGCACTAGCTCAGTTTTGCTGCAACAAAGGCGGATTTGTGAACCTCATTTGTGCCTTTGCTCCGTCTTCCTTTTTGTGCAACCTTGTACAATGGAGAAATCTCTTTTAGATCTTTTCTCCTGAATATTTTATTTCAATTACGAGGCTTGGGTAATTCTTAGCTAGTCCGATATATTCATTTTCATGACATTTTTATGTGTCTCATCTTTCATTTGAATAACACTAATCAATTCATTTAAATATAGTAACATTGCATAATATTACAGTAATGTTATTAATATTACTATGATATTTATAATATACTTGTAATAGTTCATTAAATGGGGTTTGGGGTAATTTAAAATAACTGCTCACATTTTATCATAATGATTTTTTACTGTCTAACTGTTCCGCTACCCATTTCTCTTAGTTTTATTATATTATTTCATTTCCAAACTAAACACTACTGTTTTGAAAGATCAATGTTATCATTGCTCCCATGTATTAATAGCACTGTTCAAACACGGACATCTTTCAAAGGCTTTGTCAACATTATCAAGCAATGAGGCACAATAGGAGGGGATCAATAGGAGGGTGTTGGGAGCCCCATAACTAGATTGTACGTGATTTAGGAGATTTACTTCAAACTAGAGCTAATCTTGCCTCCTGGACTGAAATGTCACCTTGATGCTTGAGGTTCAAAGATGTTTGAAGAGAAGGCCTGTCTACCACAGGCCTTTGCCTCTGGCCTGGGGGATGCTCACGGGGTAAAATGAGAGCATCAGAGCCAATTGCATATCATTGCCCCTCCCTTGGTGGCTGTGTAAGATGCAGTCCAGTGCTCCAAAAAAACCAAGGAAGATGATTGACATTCATGACAACTGCTAACAGATATCCACAGAGCCAAATTCTGGCTTGCTGGTACACACACTCATGTCAAAGCGTCTGAGAATCGGGTGGTTTTGGCAGGAAGGTTTTCTGCTCTGGTGTTGGCTCTGGTCTACACTGGTGAACAACAAAGTGTTGCAACGTGCTGCAGTGGAAGGTCAAAGAGCGTTCTGGGACAGGATCCTCCATCCACAGTGTGCACAGCACATTTGTTGATGCTGTTGCCTTGACCTGGAAATGTCGACTTCACATAGTTTTAATCCAAGCCTGCTTGCAGTCACAAATGGAACTGTAGCCAGGCAGAATATTTTACCACCACATTTGCTGCACATGGAATAACGTGGGCTTGTCTGTCCAGAAGCTGTTCATCCAGCGAGGCAGGATTCAACTTTGAATTGAATGTTTTATCTCTGGTCTTATTTCAGAATTTTAAACTTCCAAGCAGAAAGATCATAATCTTGAATATGAAGCACTAGGTAATAAAATTACAGGCATTTAAACTTTATGGTAAAATACAGTGTGCAATTTATACAGAACAGAACTTTTATCACTCTTTTTCAAACAGGATTTAGGTTCTTACCTGGCAAAAACTTGCGTTGAAACCATGGGGACTATTTATGAAGAAGAGATTTCAAAGTCATTCTTAGTGTCATTTTGGAACTAGATAGCAGCCTGCCACTCTTTGAAGCTGATCACGTTTTCTTGGGATAAAAAAACTCCACAGGGTTTCGCTGGCTGACAGAACGTCTGGCTTGATAGCTGTTGCTGAAAATGCAGCCACGTGTTGCCAAGTACCTTTTAAACTGTGTTTGCAAGACAGTTGACAAATAACTTCAAAGACTTTTCTAGGCTTAAATAACTCTCAAGTGTGACAAAACAGAGTGAGTCAGAGTAGAAGAGGAAGCCAGCTGGGAAGCTCTAGGCGAAAAGACTTACTGCTGTTAGAAACAGCAAACATTTAACCTTCAAATAAGTAAAATATTTTTTATTTTGCAACAGCTTCATTACTAACAGTCAGCATTCTACTTTAAATTCCTATCAGCAGCAGTATAGCTTACTGTGGTTTCCACAGAGAAGTTAAACCACAGTTCCCCAATTTGTGTATACAGTACCAAATCTGTGTGGTCTGCAGTCCACGGAGCTGTCTCCTGGGCTGGTTTACCTCCAGAGCAGACAAAACCAGGTGTGTTTCCTCTGGAAGGTCTGCAGGCACCTGGTAATGCTACTCAAACCTTCATCACCTTGTACTTCCCATGGACATCTGTGGAGTTCTTCCCGAGTCAGAGTAAACAAAACTGCTTGACAAAACCCTACTGGCATAGAGTAGCTGACTGGGGTGGTGCCACAGATACGCTGTGTCTTCTGGCAGAAATGGAGCTGATGTGGGTTACTGCCAGGCTAGTATTTCTTCTCTAGAAGAGAAATGAGACATTAAAAAGGAGAGACAAACTCCTCACCTACACACAGGTCTGAGGACACCTGACTTCTAACCCTGGTCCTGACAGCAGGGTGGCTCACTGTATCCCTCACTCTACAGCAACACACCATGTCTTGCTTGTAAGTTTGTTACACCAAAATTTACAGAAGGCTGCTAGACTCTTAGTTGAAGACAAACCTATCATTTCTTTGAGTAGTGACTATGATGAATATCTAACTAAAATGTATTTCTGTGCTGTCTCCCACACTGTGAGGAGTTTGAAGTACCCATAGCAATAGCAAAACAATTGGACCTGTAATTTGGAAAAATTCTAAAACATGCCTTGAAAATAGGTTTCGTCATGCTGTAGATACAAATTCTGTAAAGACATTTGAACTAGTGGACTCCTCACAACGTGTAAATGTAAACACATATTTAGCCTCCACAGAGGCAGGTGTAATATGAAAAGGAACTTATGGTGACAGTGTTACACCTAGAAACAGTTTAGGCTGCTGTTTTCTCATCTGAATTAATCTAATTCTTATTTGCCGTAATAAGACAAATAGGAAATGTTATAATACTGGATTTCCATGCTGTATATACCATTGGAACTTTCTGTGGATTTCAGTAATAGCTTTCTTCAATATGCAGTGTAGAGCTTTATGTCATGGAGTGCTGATGAATATAGAAAGCTTTGTTTTGATCCCATGCTAAATAATTCAACAGATTTGTTCCCATATGACAACAGTCTTAAAACGGATGCCACTGCAGTGTAGCTGAACATCACGCTGAATTTTCACTGTGGGTCTGCAAAAAATCAAAAGTAACTAGCTAACTGTAT